ACGAGACATTCGTATTCAAGTTACTTTGCCGGATTCGCTGAGAAAATTTTGTATAAAATACTTTTAAATTATCAGCAGATATGCCTGGTGGCTGCTTGGTTGCAAGACTAAAAAAAGGCCATCATTAAAATCAATAGGTAAAACACGCGAATTATTTGTGAGTAATTATAAGTAGTTTATAATTACAACAGCATACCTGAAACAATACCAATAGACAACATCCAAATCATTATCTCGAAGCATAGAAAGAAGAGCCAATTGAGCTTGGGCTTTTCCTAATGCGTGATAATTCAGTTAAAAAAAAATAAAAAAATTTCGTTAGTGTCTCATGAGACATTACATACCATCTTCACAGTAGACTCTTGCAGCTTTCATGTAAAATTGTTTAGAGAATTCCCAACGTCTCATATCAGACCCAAATAGAGTCTCACGATATCGAGCAAAATCACCAAGACGAATGAGACATCGTTGAATAGATTCAGCAGTGAGCTCTTTCCTGCGTAATTTGGAAGCGGAACGTGGAGCAGGAGGTGAAGTGGTGACAATATTCTTAAAAATTTCTGAATAATGCAAATATGACCAAAATGAATAACATAAAATAGCTAAATTATTTAAATATACATAAGTATTTGTAAAAACGCACCAATTCCAACTTGATCCAAATCTATATTTTCACGAATTTTTAAGCTATTAATGATGGTATGGTAAAATCCAGTTCCCAAGTCTAGGTAGCGGCATAATTCAAGGTAAATGACTTGATATTCGTCAGATTTCTCACTCTTATCGATCTGTTTGATAAAGGAAAATTCAATAAAGTCGAAAATTATTTATATAACAATAATTTTATATACCCGGCGCAATTTTTGTCTCAATTCCTCAATATAATTATAAAAGACGTATCTCCAAAGTCTTTCTTCGATATTATGTTCGTTGGCGAACTTGAGATCGCTTAAAAGAATGTCTTCATAAACGTCCTTGAGGCTGTATAACAGTAACATAGAAGAGATGAACAATAATAATAATAGAATTAAATACAGAATTAACAGACGATGAACTAATAATTTTACCTGTTCCGTAAAAATTCAGTCTCTTCGACTAATTCAGCTGATTTTTCGGGGCTATCTGTTTTTCTTTTTTCCAGTTCCTGCTTCTTTAATTCTCTCTCGAGATCAGAAGCCTCACTAATGGTAATGTAACATTAAGGCAAGATAATATAAAAAAAGACATATATAGTATTATATTTTCTATAATAATACACACGAGATTAGTTCTTTCAGCCTTTTCCTGTCTTCGATAACATTTGTTGACATTGTATAGAATAATTAATCCATTATGCGTTTGTAACGATCTATTTTTTGTTTGCAAAGTTTTTTTTTTTTTTTTTTAGCGAAAGAATATGGGATTTTAAAAAAGACGTGGTTAATCAATAGTTTTGACAAATATCAACACTCCTTGTAGTCACATTATTGAAATGGTACTATTATATAACGTGTTTATAAAGTGTTATATGGCTGGCATATACGTACGCAAGCTTTCTTATGTCTGTATACAGGTCTGGAAAAAATCAAATGTATATTATTATTTCTTTCTCTGTAAAATGCGGAAAGTACGTACTCGAATTTAATTAACA